CAATTTCAGGGAAACATCACTCGATTCCTATTTATTTTATAATTGTAAAGTAATCTTTAAGTCTTTAAAGTAAATGTTGTAAAAGTATTAAAATTAGGCAATTTTTAATTTTGAGCTCTAAGTTCTTAAGAATCCACCATACTGTAATAGACATAGACTTGTCATTCCCTAGAAATGATCTGAACTTTTTGTTATTATTATTGTTTTGTGATAGCATGCAAGACGACAGCGTAGAAGCTTCTACTTCCATATCTCAACTTCTAAGAGAGAGCTATTTGGCTGAAACCAGACACCGGGGAAACAATGAGAGGAGTCGAGCAGAACCTTCCTCCAACCCTTTCCATTTTGGCAGTACTTCTGGGGCTGCTGAAGAAGGAGGAGGCCAAGATGACCTTCCAGATCTTTCAGCCTTTCTGAGTCAAGAAGAATTAGATGAAAGTGTCAATCTGGCAAGACTGGCCATCAACCATGACCCTTTGGAGAAAACAGAGGAAGCTCAATCTAGAAAATGGCTTTCTTCTGATCAGGTGAAACACTCACCTAAATCAAGTTTTGAGCCTAACTTCTGCCAGGATAACCCTCGAAGTCCTACCAGCTCTAAAGAGAAGCCCCAGGAGGCAAAAAGGCCACAGTATTGTTCCGAAACCCAGTCCAAAAAAGTATTCTTAAATAAGGCTGCCGACTTCATCGAAGAGCTATCCTCCCTTTTCAAAGCCCATAGCTCCAAAAGGATCAGACCTCGTGCCTGCAAAAACCACAAGAGTAAATTGGAATCTCAAAACAAAGTTGTGCAGGAAAATAGCTCCAGTTTCTCAGATGTGTCAGAAAGAAGAGAAAGATCTTCTGTTCCCATCCCTATCCCTGCGGATACCAGGGATAATGAAGTGAATCACGCCCTTGAACAGCAGGAAGCCAAGAGGCGTGAAGCTGAGCAGGCTGCCGGTGAGGCGGCTGGTGGAGACACCACCCCAGGGTCTTCACCTTCATCTTTGTACTATGAAGAACCTCTGGGGCAGCCTCCCCGGTTCACTCAAAAATTACGGAGCAGAGAAGTTCCAGAAGGAACCCGAGTACAGTTGGATTGCATAGTGGTAGGAATTCCACCACCTCAAGTAAGGTAAAAATATCCCCTTAGTAATATTTGGGCATTGCTTTCCATCTACCATGATCCTCCTAAGTATAATTTTTTAAGTGTGTGGTTTCAAAAATTATATACTCCATTTGAGAAAAGCAGTGTCTAAAGCAGCTCTGTCCAATACAAATGTAACACTAGCCATGTATGTTATTTTAAGTTTTCTACTAGCCACATTTTAAAAAGGTAAAAGAAAAAAAAAGATAAAAATAACTAGGTGAAATTAAGATTAAGGTTAATAATATGCCTTTTAACAAATATATTAAAAATATTATCGTTTCAACATGTGTTCAATATAAGAATTATTAAGATATTTTACATTCTTTTTACCATAGCAGAGATTTGAAATCTAGTGTGATTCTACAACTACAGCACATCTCAATCTGGATACTAAATTTTCCTAGGAAAAACTTAATCTGTATTTAGGTTTCATAAAATTTATTATTGAAAAAGTAGATTGATATATCCAAGTGGTTCCAAACATACTTAAAAGTTTTGCAATAACTGAGATGTGTATTGGTTTTTAAATTTAAACTAATTAAAATTAAGTATAATTTTAAAATTCGGTTCTTTAGTTGCACTAGCCACAATTCAAGTGCCCAATAACTACATGTTGCCACTGACTACAGTATTGGACAGTACAGTTCTATAGTCTGTAGCTTAAAAAAAGAAAGTATTTAAGATCTCTACTCAAGTGAATACCTGGCAGTATCTTTTGAATTTTAAAGAAAGCCGGGCGTGCTAGCTCATGCCTGTAATCCTAGCACTTTAGGAAGCTGAGGTGGGAGGACCACTTGAGGCCAGGAATTCGGGCCCAGCCTGGGCAACAAAGTGAGACCCATCTTTACAAAAGGTACAAATATTAGCAGGGTGTGGTGGTGCGTGCCTGTAGTCCCAGCTACACAGGAGGCTGAGGTGGGAGGATCGCTTGAGCCCAAGAGTTGAGGCTGTAGTGACCTATAATGATACCACTTGAACTCCAGCCTGGGTGAGAGAGTGAGACCCTGTTTCTAAAAATTTTTGATATCAGCTTCAGGAACACTATGACTGATGGATAGAGAGGACATTCTTCTTTTATGTGCCTACCGTGGTTAGCTTTTCTGTGAGGCCAATAAAATATAAACTTCAGGGCTCCCCACGTGCATAGGCTACACCCAATTTTGTGCTCTAATTTTATTTTTTTAAGGCACCCTTCCACATTTATGAGCTTCAGGTGCCACAAAACCTGGAACCAGCCTTAGCCCCCAGGGAAACATTTGCTACCTCTAATATTATAGCGAAATCATATGTGAATAATGTGGTTGAAGTGTATTACTTTTGTAGAGAATTACTAGTATTTAGAGTCCTGTAAGAGTTACTTTGCCTCCCTAACTACCCAATTACCACTAGTATATGACCTCATAACAATTTAATATTTATTCTCTACATGTAGACAGGGCCTCATCTTTTTCATACATAATATTCACATTATAGGGCACAAAGAGTATTAATATTACTTTAGTTATATATGCAAATTAATTCAAGGGATTCTGGCCCAAAGACATATTTATGTATTGAATTTTGCTTTTCTAAGGCAATATCACATACTGTTTCTACAGTGGCATATACATTTTACAATCAGGTTATCCAACTGATTTCCTTGAGGGCAGGAATTCTGTTGTTTTTTACCTTTGTATCTTGAGCATCGATCACAGCTTTTGGCCCCTAGTAGCCACTTAGAAATGTTGAGTGAACTAATGAATAAAGAAAGAGGAAAACAAGAAACTCAACTTAGATTTAAATCAGGACTGAGACAGTTGACCTAAGATGTGGCAAAGGGTTGGAACTGAAGCACACAGGGCAGTGTCTGCCCTTCTGCTCTAAACGTGCCTGATGACACTCTCTGGGATTCTGCTCAGTAACACTAGTGAGATGTCATTACAGCACCATGACAGATACCATGCTGTGGCATCTGGTCAGTCTGAGAAAGCTGGTGAGCACTCATGTTATGGCCTACATACAACTTAAATTTGTCTTGTCCAGTCCACTAGTTTCTGGACATAGATTGGTCCAAAAAAAAATTAGACCAGATTATTCAGGACTCACTTTCCCATTTCTCACCCATGACAATCTCAGATAGAAGAACAAACTCAGTGCACCACTGAGAAAGATCAATTAGGAAGAACTACAAAGTGCCCATTTCCTCAAAAACAAAAAATCAGTGGCCATTCAAAAACTACTTAATCAACCAACTAAAAATTGACAAATCTACAAATTTAAAAGTGAAATAAATGTATATAGCTTCCATGTAGCAAGACTAATTTTACCTGGGAAGAATTTCTTTACTGATAGAGTTCATGCCTATATCCCAACCACTGTTTTGATGCCAGGAAATTTGTAGATATTCACTAAATACTTTCAGAATGAATTAGTATTTAATTTCATGGCTGCAATTATATTAAGAAAAAAATTAGAGTTTTTCAGGTAGATTGTTGCTATCATTATTTTCCTAAGCACAGAATTTATATAACTAATTAGAAAGCAAATATTTAGTTAGCTTTTACTATGTGCTCAACACTGTAATCCATGCAATGACAGACACGGTATATATACATGCCTTCAAGAAGCTTCCCATCCAATTAAAGAAATCAACCTAATTTTTATAGTACAAACCATAAGTACTATCAGGTTTCAGAGGAGAGGGAGGGTGAGAAAAGTCAAAAGGTTTCAGAAATGTAAGGGGATTGTAGTTGAATTTGAAGGGTGAAAAGGATTTAGGCAGAGATTTACTCATTTATTCATTCAACAAATACCTATTGAGTTACCAAAACGGTAATTGTGAGCTACTGGAAGTCAAGGACCTAGTTTTGAAACCAAGTCTAAACTATTCCAAGAGGGTAGCTCAGACAGACATGTAATCAAAACACAGCAATGTTGCATCATAAGGGCTATAACAAAAGTATGCATAAGCTGCAATGGTGGATCAAAGGAAGATGTGATTAACTTTGCCTGGAGTGCAGGATAAAGGAAGCATTAACCCAAGAGGTGGAGGAGACCAAAGATGGAAGGGGAAAACAGGTGCAAAGGCCCAGAGGCAAGTGTTTTCAGGGAATGACAAGTACTTGGTTGTGCCAAGAACATGGGTATCAGGTAAGGAAAGATTAGAGATGAGGTCGAAGAGGTAGGCAGAAGGGACGGGTCCCTTCAGGCCAGGTCAACTCAACAGGTTTACATAATGTTTTTATATGGCAGGGAGGAGACTGACCTAACTGGAAAGGAGAGTAGAGCCAGGTGACTTTGAAGAACCTTGAAAGCAACACAGAATAATACAGACTTGGTTTCAACACAAACAGGAAACTATTTAAGGTTGTGAGTAGGGAAGTCACAAGATGAAAGGGAGCATTTGAGGAGAATTAGTCTGGAAGAATAAGTGAAGTCGGAAAAGAATGGAGCCACATGGCCACTTAGGAAGCTGTGGAAGGCATCCCAGGCAACTGGTGCTCTGGTCTGACACGAGTGGGTGCAGCAGCAATGAGGAGAAAAGATGTTAGTGAGAGACGTTTAGAAGAAAAGAAATCAAGCCGAACTTGATGACTGGCTAGATAGGAAGGATGAGTAAAAAAATTTACTCCACAAGTTTATGGAGCTGGGTACCTGAAAGAAAGCTGGGGTCACTGGCAAGGACTGAGAAAGGGGAAGAAGTAGGTGATCTGTGGAGGAAGTTGATGAGGATTTGAGTCTGTGGGGAGAGAGGGACCATATCCAACAGGCAGTCGGAAATGCAGCCCCGAAGGTCAAATGAGAGAGTATTGGATCTAGAGACGTTCCAGGGAGTAACTTGGACACTGAGAAAAGTCTGACACAATATCTCTGTAATTACAAAAGGATTGTAAACACAAGCAACACTTGGAACCAACTTCTAGTTGTTGGTTCAGTCCAGGATTAGAATGTAGTAATGTTTTCCTTCTTTTAGCAGTAACTCTTCCCTTCCCCCACAAAAAAAGGAAAAAAAAAACCATTACATTTTACCCCAATACATGTTACACACACACAGATTTCATTTAAGATAAAATTGGTGCTATTGGGTTTGAAGAGGGGTGGGGTGGAGGCGCCTGGAGACCTACCTGCTTGAAACTCCTGAGGCATCTCCACAGGACACAGGAGCACAGATTTTGATACAGAGGTTCTCTTTAAAAAATGAATTAAAATAATAAAATAATGAGACATTTTGGTTTGCTAAATAGAAACATCATTGTCAACAAGGACAGTATCATCTTGCTATTTTAGTAAAGAAAATATAATAAGCATACTGGGCAACTGAAGCCTAACTTTGTATCTGTGTGTTCCTGTGTGTAATCAGTATTTTATCCATGTTCTTGTCACCCTAGTTCAGCAAGGTGAAAAATCACTTTTGTTTATATTGTTCATTCCAAGTTAATTGGGTAGAAATTGTTTTTTAAGTAGAAGTGGGATCCTATATCACTGAAACTAGCATTTTTGAAAGCTTGTTGATCTTGGACATAGCTTCACTGGAGGATTTGTCTTAGAAAATGAAATACATTCATGTGTTTTCCACGGATGAAGGAGTTTATGGGACTTCACAGCAAATGGCCATGGTCCTTTTGTGTATCCTGACTCCAAATTCTTTTCCCAGGAATGTACAGCTAGGTCACGCTCTGTGTGCTTGTACACAACTTTTGAAGGCAGCACAAATTTGCTTTTTATAGTTGTTGATGCCCACTATGGCTAAGTTTTGTCATTGCTACTTCTAGACATTTGTCTACAAGTACTGTGTCAAGAACATAAAAAGGGAACAAAATAGTTATAAAGAAAAAATATATCTTTTTTTTTTTTTTTTTTTTGAGACAGAATCTCACTTTGTTACCCGGGCTAGAGTGAGTGCCGTGCCGTTAGCCTAGCTCACAGCAACCTCAAACTCCTGGGCTCAAGCGATCCTACTGCCTCAGCCTCCCGAGTAACTGGGACTAGAGGCATGCGCCACCATG